TGCACGGCCCAGCGATTCCCTTTGTCCCGAGCTGTCCCGGGAACAATCGGGGCCGTTCCGGCCGCTGCTCCAAGGTTGGGGAGTTCAGAACCCTCGTGGGGTTGAGGAAATTGGGGAATTATTGGCCTGGTCCAGTTCCAGCTCCCCGGGAGCTTCGGGAATGGCCGGACCTGCCCCCGGAGCTCAGCACCTTCCTCTCTGTTGATATCCCTGCTAATTAATATCCCTGCTAATTAATATCCCTGCTAATTAATATCCCTCTCCATTAATATTCCCTCTAATTAATATCCCTCTCCATTAATACCCCTCTCCATTAATATTCCCTCCAATTAATACTCCTCTCCAATTAATACTCCTCTCCAATTAATACCCTTCTCCATTAATATCCCTGCTAATTAATATCTCTGCTAATTAATACCCCTCTCCATTAATACCCCTCTCCATTAATATCCCTCTCCATTAATATCCCTCTCCATTAATACCCCTCTCCATTAATATCCCTCTCCATTAATATCCCTCTCCATTAATATCCCTCTCCATTAATATCCCTCTCCATTAATACTCCCTCCAATTAATACTCCTCTCCAATTAATAGTCCTCTCCAATTAATACCTCTCTCCATTAATACTCCTCTCCATTAATATCTCTCTAATTAATATTCCTCTCCATTAATATTCCTCTCCATTAATATTCCTCTCCATTAATATCCCTCTCCATTAATATCCCTCTCCATTAATATCCCTCTCCATTAATATCCCTCTCCATTAATATTCCCTCCAATTAATACTCCTCTCCATTAATACCCTTCTCCATTAATATCCCTGCTAATTAATATCTCTCTAATTAATATTCCTCTCCATTAATACTCCTCTAATTAACACCCCTCTCCATTAATACCCCCTCTAATTAATACTCCTCTAATTAACACCCCTCTCCATTTACATCCCTTCCTCTCCCACCACCCCTGACACTCATTAGCACTTAATTAACACCCTTAACCCCCCCCTCCTGGAAGCAGGGAGGAGGGCTTGGAATGTGGCCCTGACCTTCACAAGGGGCCTCATTCCCGGGGATTTCTCGCTCCAAAAACTCCCCTTGGAAGCTCTTCCCGAGCTCCTGTTTATCCCTGACGGGCATCCAAAGCGGGATTTGAAGGAAAAGGGGGGATTTCCCGAGCAGGGGAGGGGCTGGTTTAACCCTGCAGCTCCTGAAATCCGGGATTTCCCACCTCCAGGGTGGGGGATCCCGAAGGAGAAACCTTGGAAAAATTCCATCAGACATCACTGAGCTCCCTCCCCCCCGGGGTTAATTAGTGAGGAGGGTGAGACGAGCAACTCATGATCCCCCCTGGCCGAGCTCCAGGAGGAAAACAATGTGCATTTCTGGGATTCGGGAATTTTTCACCCCAAAAAGGGGCCCGTTCTGGTGGCTTTTCAGGGGATCAGGTTTTGGGGATAACAGTTTGGGATTTTTTTCCTGGCAGGAGCTACTCCTCCCTGATGAAGGCTGAGAACATGTCCTCCAACCAGGTGAGTGGGAGCTGCTGATCCCACACCATGCCCGGCACGGGGATGGAATTCCAGCCTGGCACGGCCCGCGATCCCGCAGGGAATGCCTTTGGCTCTGGGAGCGGCCTGGGGACCGGTGGGGCTGAGGAAACAGGGATACAGTGATCCCTGGGTGAGGATGGACTGGATGCTCCATCCCTGGAAGTGTTGGATGGGGTTTGGAGCAACCTGGGATAGCGGGAGGTGTCCCTGCCCAGGGAATGGGATGGGATTTAATGCCCCTTCCAACCCATCCCATTCCATGGTTCCATTATGAAAGACACTCAGGATCCACTCAGAGGGGTTTTTATGGAATGTGGGGCTGGAAAAGGCGGGAAAGGGGAAGGGAGCCCCTTCCCTGAGTGCCGAGATTCCCAGGGAACCCCCCCTTGTTCCCGGAACCCCTTCCCAGAGAGGAGTTGGGCTGGGGATGGATCCAATGTCAGGCTCTGGCTCCAGGCTGGGAGAGCTGGGAATGGCCAGGCTGGAGAAGGGAAGGATCCAGGGAGAGCTTGGAGCCCCTTCCAGAGCCTGCAGGGGCTCCAGGAGAGCTGCAGAGGGATTTGGGATCAGGGCCTGCAATGCCTGGAAGGACACAGGGAATGGCTTCCCACTGGGAAAGGGGAGATTGGGAAGGGATTCCCGGCTGGGCTGGGCTGGGCTGGAATTCCCAGGGAAGCTGTGGCTGCCCCTGGATGATCCCTGCAGTGTCCAGGGATTCCCTAGAAACCCTGGGAGCGTGGGAGGTATCCCTGCCAAGGGAATGGGATGAGCTTTGCTGTCCCCCCAACCTGAACCCTTCCCCACCCCCTCTGCTCTCATCCCTGGGGTGAAATCCAAGGAACTGGAACAAACGGGAATTCTGCAATAATCCAGCCCCCATTTCCCACTTTCAGCATTCCTTATGATCCCCATTTTTCCCGTTTTTTCCCTCCCCCCTCCCCTCCAAGGATGGCAACGACTCCGACGACTTCATGTGAGCGGAGCCCCCCTCGGCCCCGATGCTGAAATGCCAAAAATCCACCCCAAAACCACGGATTGGGAGCCCATTCCCGGCCTGCTCCGGGCCAGCCCACCCCCTGGAAGGAGCAGCCGGATCCCTGGGATGGCTTCCAGCCCCGTGCTTTTCCCAAAGACAATGGTATTTATTTTGGGGAAGGGATTTGGGGCCCGGCAAACAAAGCTGGGCCGTGGCCTCAC